GAACGACGCTTAGTGGGTTAAAACGGCAATTTCTGGCAAATTTATTTTCACTCCTTTTTTGGCATTCAGAAGGCCATTTAGCGGAAATGGACCATAGTTCTGTACTCAGTGCTCATGCTCCTACAACATGCAAAAAACCATTTTCAAAAAGCGTCACACGCCCTGATAGACCTTCCTTGTTAGAGGTTGAGGAAGGAACGTAGTCAGAACTTCAAAGTGGGCGGAGCTGAGTTTAAAAATTTATGACTCTATTCAAATGTGTTCTAGACTCAGGAAAAAGTGAACAGATGCCATCAAAAAATAAGGTCAAATCCTTTGAAAGGATGGCGTTTGCACCATGTGATGGGACAGAGGTGAAGGTTTTTCTGAAAACGTTTCAGAGCGTGAGAACAAAGTTGTTAGAGTCATGGAAGAATGCAGTCAAAGGCACGGTTCACGATAAAAATGTTACTAAGTTCTTTCCCTAGGAATACTCAATGGCCCCCCAGGGTAATAGGAAGGGCACCCGCCCAAGAACTGGACGGTTTAGGCATAGTAGGAACCCTGTTACCGGCTCACGCTGCCTTCCCGCACCTCGATCGATGTCACGTTAGACGAGTGTCGAGGCGAAACAGACTGCAATTTTTCGTTCTAGGACCCACACCCAATCAGCTGATCGCCGAATGATGAGGCGATATTCTTCCCCCACCTTTTCTCCTTTGTTATTCTTTTTGTTGCCGCGCGCAATCCCTTATTTAATTTCCTACTCCTAGAGGCTGAAAGAGGCAAACAATTTTGCTGTTATTAGGGTTTTTTGTTTACTTATGCTTATAAGTGAATGAATTTTTTGCTCACCGTAGTCAGTTATTTGCACCAGGACCCACACGTACGCAATGACCCACATGGCATAGCTCGTCCAAACGCCCCACTCTTTTAATTCTTCTGGTCTCGTTCTCGCCTAGCCCCCTTTTAACGATTTTTTGAAGCCTTTTTCACTTTGGAAACATCGATTCACGCAGTTCCTTCGCCTTCATCGCGCTATTTTCCATCTTATCTTCCATTTTTCGTCATTATCTGGATTACCCAAAATTATCGTGAACTGTGCCTTCCAATCGTTGAAGTGAGCGGAGTTGCACTGGAGCGGGCGGGACTAAGGCCAAAAATTCGTGACCCTGTACAAAATGTTCTAGTTGGCGGACGTGGCAAGAATCTAGAAGTTTGGCAAAATCCTCAAAGTGGGCGGGGTTAAGAAGGATAGTTCATGACTCTTTTCAAAATGGTATTAAGATGCGGAATAAAGTTGCTAGAGCTTACAGAAGAAATCTTCACTATGTGTGTATCACTGTTGAGAGCCTACACTGAAACCCAGACAATTTCCTTACTGTAAACGATGCGCCATAAATGTGATAACAACTTCATGGAAGTGCGCACTTTCTTTGTTTTCCAAAATCTGCTTCTTCCTTTCTGTTTACTATTGTTTACCACATACCTCAGCTAACACATTCGGTGCTCTGAATCGTCAGTCCTTGAAAAATGGTGAAGCCTTGCAATCATCCAGAAGGCGCTCCGTCTTTGCGTGCCTTTGGTATTTTTCCTCGTCGTTTCTACATACATTTCTGGCATGATACTCTGTTGAATCGCGTGAGTGGGTGGGTCAACGACAAGCTTCAAGACGGTCGTCTTGTCTCTATTGCGATCCCCTTCCCGAATACAACTGCATAGGAATAATTACCTACGAAGCTGCAGAAACATGACAAAATGGCTGCTGATTTGAATGTATGTCCTACTTCGATCAGAAGTCTACCCCGAGTAAACACAGTTGTACCCACATAGGTTAGGAAAGTCTTACGGACATTTTGAAGAGAAGAGGCTAGAAAGAAAGAGCAAATGTTGTGCCTTATTCGAATGCGGCACGCGCTTTGACACACTTATTTTTCTGACGAGAAGTTGTTAAGCGTGAAGAATTGCTCAGATTTTTCACGCTTCCTCAGAGTACACATAAGGTTCTCACTACAAGTAGCGAGCGAGAAGGGTCCGACCGTTTTCGTAGCTGTTTTCCCTTTTCCGTGATTGTTTCAATGAAATCTTGCCATCAGAGCGATTTCGCTTTGTTTGTCGATAAAAGTAAAAAAAAATTAATCAGAACATCTTGGACATTTCTGTGGAAGTGCTGCTATGGGTGAATGAGTATTTCAAGGATACGATTTGGAAATTACGGTGTACTAGAATAGTTGCTCGCGAATGGAAAAAATCAAATCTAGTGCTGAGGAGATGTCGCGATTTTACTCTTGCTTCCCACTTGCCCACGAATTTCTCCACCATCCGACGGGTCGGTAGCTTAGTCTCTTCTGGAGAGGGAAGCCTGCACATCAAGACACACTTCTACTGCTGCTTCTGGGGAATCGTTGAAAAAAAAACCCGGCCTGAATTTCTCAAGAAACTCCTCGTAGGGCCGAAGCTGTTATATAATTAGTGCAGGAGACGGTTATATGAGACCAGTCGGATCGCTCGGCTGACGCCAGGCTTGCCTCCTTCTCCGAGTTCTAGTAATCGGACAACCCGCCACTCTACTTTGGTACGTATGGTGATTATCTGCACACGAAATTCGACACAGGCTCTACAATTTTGACTTAGGATCCAA